AAGAAAGGAAATTGGTGTAGAACTTCTACGAATCTAGGCCCTAGGCAGTTTTGCCTAACCAAAATTAGAATTTCACGGCTGAAGATACTCTCACGAGAAGATGATGAGATCTTAAATTTAATGGTACGACACAAACTCATACTATAAGAGAAGGTTTCAGACGCAGTGTCAAATTCCTATTTTGATAATTTATATGAATACTCTCAACAAATACACATATAGAATTATAATAAAATTTTATATAATTTAACATGATAATTTTATATGGTAAATGAATTATAATAAAAAATTTATATAAAAAAAAAAAAAAATACAAAAAAATGAAAAAAAAAATAAAAATATTCAACAAATACTACATATAGAAAGAAAAGTACATTATTAAATTAAATCACGTAGTTAAACTTTATGTAAAAATCAAATTGAAACAATTAAATCCAACTAGAAGAGTATAAAAAATGAAAATATTTTACGTACAATATCATATAGTATTACAAATTTAAAATAAATATATTATTATAAAATTAATTCTTTTTATTTAAGAATTCACATATAATATTATATGTATATGTATTTAATACCATATTATATTTGTTTAATATCATATTATAATCATTTAATATTACATTATAATTATAAACTTACAATACTATATAAAATTATAACCACAACATTCACACATTATATATGTATATATATACACACACACTATAGACGGATCATCCTCAAGGGTAATACTCCTTGAGTGACACATGTAAGAGATAGGTGTAAGATGAGGTTCGAAATACAATTTTTTATTCTTTTTATTTTTAAAAAAATATGAGATAAGTACGATTGTAGCATAAGAATATCATCAGGCATCTGATACTAACAGAATAGGGGTTTGAATTTGAACGCGGAGAAAGTGAGAAGAGAGTTTGAATGCAACCTGCAGCTTAACCCATCAAAAGAGCCGTGAAATCATACCTGAAACCCCCATACCCTTCGCATCAATCCCATGAACCTCCTTTAGCCTCCCAATTGACCCTACCAACACATATTCACCCTCTCCCTTTCCCTCATAAAAAAAAAATAATAATAATACTACTCTTATATTCTTATAATTATCACTGCTTACGTTTTCCTCACGTACGCCTTCGACCTGATCAATTTATATATACATCTCTCTCAGCATCACCCCACCAGATTTTCCAAGAAATATTTATAGAAGAGAAAGGGGTTTTCTGGTGTTGCTGCCATATGGAACAAGGGATGGCAGATATTGAAAACCAAAATCATATTCAATCACAACAAGAAGAAATCACAACCATTTTTAGTAAAGCAAATCGACCTGTTACATTGAAGGTACGTATGAATTTTAATTAATTTTTACTAAAAATAATAATGATTTGTTATAATTGTTGAGTTCTCTTTTTTTCTTTCTTTTTTATGAACAGTTTGAGGATATTGTGTACAAAATCAAAGCCACTCACGAAGGAGGGTTATGTGGAAAAACCGAACAATCCGAAGAAAAAGTGATCTTGAATGGAGTCATCGGGATGGTCCGTCCAGGCGAGATAATGGCTATGTTGGGTCCATCCGGCAGTGGTAAAACGACTCTCTTAACAGCCCTAGGAGGCAGATTGGGCAGTAGTTTGAATGGCAGCTATGGCCGTTTAACAGGTTCCATAACCTACAATGGCAAACGCTTCTCCAACCCTATGAAGCGAAATACAGGCTTTGTTACCCAAGATGACGTCCTTTATCCTCACCTCACTGTGGAAGAAACCCTAGCCTTCACCGCCCTCCTCCGACTTCCAAATACCCTTAAAAAGGAGGAGAAAGTATTGCATGCTAAGGCAGTGATTACTAAGCTCGGACTGACTAAGTGCAAGAACAGCATAATTGGAGGTCCATTTCTTAGGGGGATTTCCGGTGGAGAAAGGAAAAGGGTGAGTATAGGGCAAGAGATGCTTATAAACCCTAGCTTGTTGTTTTTGGATGAGCCTACATCAGGGCTCGACTCCACAACTGCTCAAAGGATTGTGTCCACATTGTGGGAACTGGCCAACGGTGGGAGGACAGTGGTGATGACAATTCACCAACCATCTAGTCGGCTGTTCTACATGTTTCATAAGGTATTGCTTCTATCAGAAGGTAATCCTTTGTATTTTGGGGAGGCATTGTCAACTATGGATTATTTCCACGGCATTGGATATTCTCCTTCCGTTCCAATGAATCCCTCAGACTTCCTACTTGATCTTGCTAATGGTAAGTTTGCTAATAATCATGATTTTTTCAAAAAAAAAAAAAAATTGCATGAGTTGAATTTTCTTGATTTTGTGTGATTAAATTAGGAAAATTTTACTAAATAGATTTAAATCATCTTTAAATGTGTTGGTTGTGTTGATTTTCTTTTTTTAGTAATTTATTGGGATGGGATTTGTGGGTATCTTTATGAGAAATTAAAACACTATTGGAAAACATATATTTCTAATGTAGATATATATGACCATTTTGTGAAATTTCTAGATTTGTTTGGGCATGGAACATGAAACCTATGTACTTATGTATTGGAAATGATTTTCCACCACCGTTGAGATTAATTTCTGGCATGGAACATGGAACATGGAACCTGTGTATTAATGTATTGGAAAACATGTGTTTTTATTGTAGATATATCTAAGAATTTTGGAAAGTTTTGTATTTGTCTGGCATGAAACCTGAAACCTGTGTACATGTATTGGAAATGATTCCTACCACCGATTGAGATTAATTTCTGGCTTAGAACATGGAATATGGAACCTGTGTACCTTTGTATTAGATGATATATATTTTCAATGTAGATATATCTAAAAATTTGAAAATAAACTGAAAATTATACCAATCAGTGTCCATTTTCTTATTGAATCTAAAGAAAAATAAACCAATATTAAAAAATATAGTATTTCCAAACACAGGTGTTTCATCACATGAAGTGAGAGAAGAGCAAAGTGTGGTGAAGCAGACATTAATATCTGCCTTCAAAACGAATCTTGTTGAGAAATCAAAGGATGAGCTTCTAGAAGCTCAGAGTCTTGTACCTCAAGATCAAGTGGAAAACAAGCAGTTTGCACATTGGTCCACCACTTGGTGGCAACAGTTCACTGTCTTACTAAGGAGAGGAGTAAAGGAGAGACGGTATGAGTCTTTCTCTGGCCTCAAAATTGCTCAAGTCCTTGTAGTAGCTTTCCTTGCGGGATTACTATGGTGGCAATCTAATATTGCTCACATACAAGATCAGGTACTCATTACTTGATATTTAAGTATTATTTACTACCAAAACTCTTTTAATTTTCTTTTAAAAATTACATGAAATTCTTGTTAATTTTGATTTGGGATTTTGCAGATAGGATTGTTGTTCTTTTACTCTGGATTTTGGGGTTTCTTCCCTATGTTTAATGCCATTTTCACCTTCCCTCAAGAACGGAGGATGCTAGAAAAAGAACGCTCTTCCGGCATGTATAGGCTTTCATCCTACTTTATGGCAGGAACTATTCGTGATCTCCCCATGGAGCTTGTCCTTCCAACCATTTTTGTCACCATAACCTACTGGATGGCAGGTTTCAAGCCCACTGCTTTGCATTTCCTATATACACTTTCCGTCCTCCTTTACAATGTTTTGGTCTCCCAAGGCTTAGGACTTGCTATCGGGGCGATGGTGATGGACCAAAAATCAGCAACCATACTTGGATCCGTAATCATGCTCTCCTTTTTACTGGCAGGAGGATACTATGTGCAACATGTCCCTCCCTTCATAGCATGGATAAAGTATGTGTCCATCAGCCATTACAGTTACAAACTGCTAATTGGGTCTCAATTTAAGTCACATGAAACCTATCCTTGTGGCGATTCTAGGAAGGTTTGCTCAATTGGAGAGTTTCCATCAATCAAGTTAGTGGGGCTAGAAGGACAAGCTCTTGCTGCCATAGCTTTGGGTATCATGCTCATTGGGTATAGACTCGTTGCTTATATTTCCCTCATGAGGATTGGTGTGACCAAAAAAATGCACAAAATATAAGTAACTCTTTTTTTTTCCTTTAATCATGTGATGAGAGGAGAGTTTAAAACATAAAATTTAAATAAGTTAATTTATATACTGTTCCTTATTTTCTTTGTTTGGTACGCTATTTTTTTTTTTTTTTTTTTT